ACATAAGAACTGCCTTTAGAAAACTTGTGTAAGGAATCGTTCAGGACCCTGTATACCACTTATGTCAGACCAATCCTGGAGTATGCAGCTCCAGCCTGGAGTCCTTACTAGTTAAACACAAGACAAAGCTAGAGAAGATTCAGCGGTATGCCACCAGGCTCGTCCCGGAACTGAGAAGTATGAGCTACGAGGAAAGGTTAAAGGAGCCGAACCTCACGTCCCTGGAAAACAGAAGAGTAAGGGGGAGACATGATAACCACCTACAAAATTCTCAGGGGAATTGACAGGGTGGACAAAGACAAACTCTTCAGCACGGGTGGGACACGAACAAGGGGACACAGGTGGAAACTTAGTACCCAGATGAACCATAGAGTCGTTAGAAAGAATTTTTTCAGTGTCAGAGTAGTTAATAAATGGAATGCACTAGGCAGTGATGTGGTGGAGCCTGACTCCATACACAGTTTCAAATGTAGACATGATAGAGCCCAGTAGGCTCAGGAACCTGTACACCAGTTGATTGACAGTTGAGAAGCGGGACCAAAGAGACAAAGCTCAACCCCGCCAGCACAATTAGGTGAGTACAATTAGGTGAGGTCACCCCACACACACACACACACACACACACACACACACACACACACACACACACACACACACACACACACACACACACACGCACACACACAACGGGTAACGCAAACAGGATTACTTCCATTATGGGTAAAAACACAAGCGAGTGTGGTCTAGTTGGCTAATGGAGGCTTTCTGTGGGTTTTCTCTATATGTATGTACTGATGTTCATCGTTTCATGTAATCTTCCGGTATTTGTTAATCTTTGGTGACGTTCTTTTCTCAAGGTGCTGACTCGGGTGTCTTCACTACATGTTTCCGGCTTGGTCCTCGTCGCCTCCTTCTCACAGGCAATTGAGAAGCTGTGCTGGGACCATTTTAAGGCTCAAACAAGTATATATATTTGTCTGCCACTTCTGGCAGCCAAAAGCCTTTTCTTTCTGATTCCTTTTTTTCTGCTTTTTGTGTTATTAATGATCTTTTTTTGAGATATCTATATTTTATATTTTTGAATAGCTATTTTTTAAGCTTTTGTTTTAGATTATATTTTGTATTAATTTGCTTTCCCATAACTAAAAAGTGTTTTTAGTTATGTTTTAGTTTTAGTTTAGTTTTAGTTTTTTTATGTTTATGTTTATGTTTTAGTTTTTAGTTTTTAGTAATTGTCTTTTACATAACAATGTAAAATTTTCTGTCTGTTTTTCCATATCTAATTTTGACAGTTATTAAACTTCCAGATTCTGATACTTTTCAAGATATTTTTTTGTATTCTTAGTTCTTAATTTCCGATATTTGTATTTTCTGTTTCAATAATTTCGTAATTATTTTAGCTTCTAGTTTTAATATCAACTTTCAGAAGTCAACGTGGAGCTTAGTGAATAAAATTGAGAGGGGGCCAGAGACTTTTTCTTCGGTCAGCACATCACCGCTGAAGGGCAAATTCGATAGAAATTGATATAAAAATTCGAGACACTGATTGTTATCAGATTTATTTGGAACATCAAGATAAAACACAGGTCCAAAACATATTTTTTTCCTCTGTATCGGAATCTGTAAATATATATATATATATATGTATATATATATATATATATATATATATATATATATATATATATATATATATATTATATATATATATATATATATATATATATATATTCACACACACACACACATGTGTGTGTGTTTGTGTGTTTATGTGTGTGTGTGTTGTGTGTGTTTGTGTGTGTGTGTGTGTGTGTGTGTGTGTGTGTGTGTGTGTGTGTGTGTGTGTGTGTGTGTGTGTGTGTGTGTCTATTAATTAGAGTACTGGTTATGTAAGGGGTGTAATGCACCTGGCTTTCTAAGGTTCGGGTAATTACTCAAGTAATTGAGTTCTTTTAATATATTTCCTTCAGTGTTATTCAAGAGTGGGAATATTGCTATTTAACAGAGGGAATAGTGCCATTCAACGGTGGGAATTGTGCCATTCAACAGTGGGGTGAGTGCCAGCGAGCAGAGAGGGTTGTTTAATTAACACACTCACAAAATAATAAAAATTAAAAGTAAGAGTGAAAGTTTGAACAAGAATTAATTGGAAAGAACATCTACAGATTCATAGAAAAATATATTGACAAGAACTCTACATCCATAGAAAAATATATTGACAAGAACCCTATATCCATTCAAAAATATATTAGTAAAAACACCCATACATTCACTCCACTCATGAATATATTATTAAGAACACCCATATATCCACACAAGAATATATTGGTATGAACACCCATTCACCATTCAAGAACAAATTGGTAAGAACACATACATCCATACATAAATAAACATACACACACACCTACCCCTGCAAATATACACTCACTCATACACTCCAATATGTAAACAAAAAACAAAAACACACCAAGATAAAGTCACAAGCAAGGACACGTGCGCTTGAATACATACACATGTATATTACACATGTGAGGCGGGACCAAAGAGCCAGAGCTCAACCCCCGCAAACACAACTAGGTGAGTACATAAGTTAATTTTCCTTATTACCGCTCATTTATATTATTTATTACAATTTATCAGATAAAAAGACTTGAATGTAAACATATAAATACGTCTAGACAATTGCTAGTGTGTAGAGACTCATAAGGACGCCATAGGGGACTATGGATGCTGAAGGCGTTTCCTCTTTGGAGAGACACGGTATGCAGTAAGGGTTATCTTGAGAGGTTATCTTGAGATGATTTCGGGGCTTTAGTGTCCCCGCGGCCCGGTCCTCGACCAGGCCTCCACCCTCAGGAAGCAGCCCGTGACAGCTGACTAACTCCTAGGTACCTATTTACTGCTAGGTAACAGGGGCATTCAGGGTGAAAGAAACTTTGCCTATTTGTTTCTGCCTCGTGCGGGAATCGAACCCGCGCCACAGAATTACGAGTCCTGCGCGCTATCCACCAGGCTACAAGGCCCCTGGGCCTCGTAGGGGAATGTGATTTGGGAATGTGATTTGAGGGGAAGGAATGATTTGTTTTTTTCAGCGAGCCTGCAACAGAACTCTCTGAGATCATACTTGACTCCATTACGCTTTAACCCAAGAGACTGCACCCTGGAAAACACAAACCGAAACTGTCTCTATTTTCCGCTTGTTACAACTTGTAATAAAGTTGTTACAACTTGGCTTAACGTGTTTATGACGTATTAGAACGTTGTTACAACTTGCTATATTGGTTGTTATAACAGGTTAGGAGGTGTTAAAACTTGTTCGAACGTTGTACCAACGTCGTAGTTTCGGTGTGTGTTTGGAGGGTGTGATATTATTAAGGTTTTCTCCCAAACTGACTGCATATACCACTGAGGCTTGACTCACATCTTGTTGACATGGCTCTTATGTTGTCTTACAGTCCATCAGACGGGAGCTGAGGGTATTGGCAGACCTCCTCCGCCTTGCGTCACATACACTTAGACTTATGTTTAGACCTATGAGATGTGACATATGTGTTCCCACAAGCGACAATGCCTTGGCTGTAAAGCAGGCAGAGTATTTTGTCCCCCAGGTGTCAGTCTATCAGATTCACGGTTGGGGCTTACTAACACGGACCAAAACTGTCGCAACAGTTTTGGTCCGTGTTGGCCGAGCGGACAGCACACTGGACTTGTGATCCTGTGGTCCTGGGTTCGATCCCAGGCGCCGGCGAGAAACAATGGGTAGAGTTTCTTTCACCCTATGCCCCTGTTACCAAGCAGTAAAATAGGTACCTGGGTGTTAGTCAGCTGTCACGGGCTGCTCCCTGGGGGTGGAGGCCTGGTCGAGGACCGGGCCGCGGGGACACTAAAGCCCCGAAATCATCTCAAGATAACCTCAAGATAACAGCCTAAATTGTCTTAATTAACTTAACAGTTGGATGACGTTTTATTTTCTCTACGGCACCGGTGAGGCTGCTTGAGCCTAGAAGGAACAGTTATAATGGCACTGGCTTCGGCATCAGTTATAATGGCACTGGCTTCGGGATCAGTTATAATGGCACTGGCTTCGGCATCAGTTATAATGGCACTGACTTCGGCATCAGTTATAATGGCACTGGCTTCGGGATCAGTTATAATGGCACTGACTTCGGCATCAGTTATAATGGCACTGGCTTCGGCATCAGTTATAATGGCACTGGCTTCGGGATCAGTTATAATGGCACTGACTTCGGCATCAGTTATAATGGCACTGGCTTCGGCATCAGTTATAATGGCCCTGACTTCGGCATCAGTTATAATGGCACTGGCTTCGGCATCAGTTATAATGGCACTGGCTTCGGCATCAGTTATAATGGCCCTGACTTCGGCATCAGTTATAATGGCACTGACTTCGGCATCAGTTATAATGGCACTGACTTCGGCATCAGTTATAATGGCACTGGCTTCGGGATCAGTTATAATGGCACTGGCTTCGGGATCAGTTATAATGGCACTGGCTTCGGGATCAGTTATAATGGCACTGGCTTCGGCATCAGTTATAATGGCCCTGGCTTCGGCATCAGTTATAATGGCCCTGGCTTCGGCATCAGTTATAATGGCCCTGACTTCGGCATCAGTTATAATGGCCCTGGCTTCGGCATCAGTTATAATGGCACTGGCTTCGGCATCAGTTATAATGGCACTGGCTTCGGGATCAGTTATAATGGCACTGGCTTCGGGATCAGTTATAATGGCACTGGCTTCGGCATCAGTTATAATGGCCCTGACTTCGGCATCAGTTATAATGGCACTGGCTTCGGGATCAGTTATAATGGCACTGGCTTCGGGATCAGTTATAATGGCCCTGACTTCGGCATCAGTTATAATGGCCCTGGCTTCGGGATCAGTTATAATGGCACTGGCTTCGGCATCAGTTATAATGGCACTGGCTTCGGTATCAGTTATAATGGCACTGGCTTCGGCATCAGTTATAATGGCCCTGGCTTCGGCATCAGTTATAATGGCCCTGACTTCGGCATCAGTTATAATGGCACTGACTTCGGCATCAGTTATAATGGCACTGGCTTCGGGATCAATAACGCAGACCCATTGTAAAGGCAGGCGAGCCTTGATAGATGATGCGGACACTATTTCACATTTTGAAGGATTTTGGAAAAGGTCAATATATATATATATATTATATATATATATATATATATATATATATATATATATATATATATATATATATATATATATATATATATATATATATATATATATATATATATATATATATATATATTATATATATATATATATATATATATATATATATATATATTCTTAATATATCTTAAGGTGTCTTTTATATTCCCCCCCCCCTAAGATTTTATAGCACTATCATTAGTGCTGGTTCCACGAATAAGCTAATGAGCTCAAGGGACGGATTTTGTGTGATTCATTTCATGACGAAGCGAAATCAAGAGACGTTTCATCCCATTCTCTCATCTAATAGTTTTGTACGTTATTGTAACCAACGTACCAAATGCATCCTACTATGAAAATTAGCGGTACACAACTATCCACTTTTTTTGCGCATCAGCTGGATGGGTTAGGTGGGTTGCTCGGGTTCGTATGTTTCTGGCAAGGTTAAGGGGGTTTGGATTTTGAACGGAGTAGCCAATTAAAATGAACAGACTAGATGATCACTCCTGTAAACTCCTTCCATGGAATCGAATTCGTGCTGGTTGAAGGGGGTATAGCTAGGATCCGCCGCTGTGATTGTTTATGTAAGCGAATAAACTGCATGGAAATAGGCCCAAGCGTCTCTTCCGGTTAGACTGACGGCTAGTTTTTTTCTTTTTTTGTAATATACATTTTGGACAGAACGATTGAGTATGTAATTTTAGCCATGCTGGTGCGGGGAAACCCCGGTTGATTGAACGTCTAAGTGGCTTCCGAGCAAGAGTTAAGAATGAATTGAACTGTAGAAGGCCTATGCTCAGGTAGGTCCTGCATATATGTGTGTGAATCATGAAAGTTAACACGTGATGATAAATGTGACAGTGTCAGACTACCAAGACTAACAGACCTACATATTACATATATATATATATATATATATATATATATATATATATATATATATATATATATATATATATATATATATATATATATATATATATATATATATATCCACCCCAAACACATTTATGTATATTCGAACCTTTTGCTTGTAACAATTCATTGATTCCAATCCATTAACAGACTATTATGTTACCCGATAAGTTGTTTCATAAATCAAAAATCCTATTTTTCTGAACGTAAACTTATTCAATTTGAGTCCATTGTTTTCCTTCTGTTGTGCTGATATATGTAACACCTATTTGATATCCCTCTTTGTTTTACTCAGTTTGTCCAGTTGAAGAATTCAGTCGTGTCCGCCTCCTCTATGCCATTCGCGAGAATGTAAATTATGCTTTCTTAATATATTTTCTTAATAGAGGTTTCTAATTCCTGGGGTTAACTTCGTAATTCTTTTGTATTCAAGTAAATTTATTTTTGAATTCCATAGTACGGGAACGCAGCCAGTACTGCATAATCTATTTTTGGTCATGAACACGATAAAGCTGATTTATACATTGATAAATAGATTTATACATTGATATTGTATTGCTTTGGGATTTCTGTTATTCATGACTTCAAAATATGTTTTGATCTCATATATTTGATTTGGTGATCTAAGTATTTGGTAAGCATGAAGAAAGCTTTTGTAGAACCTTATTGTGATTACTTTATTTCTTTACGTTAGTTAAGATGTAAACAAATGTTTTTTTGTGTTTGCCGATTCAATCACTTTTCCCAATAAGGTAAATTATTGATAGTGTGATAGTAGTGTTCGACCTCTTTCCTTAAAAATCGACACCACATTTGCAACCCTTCACGATTCTGATACGTTGATTGACTTTTTTTTTTTTGAGATATATACAAGAGTTGTTACATTCTTGTACAGCCACTAGTACGCGTAGCGTTTCGGGCAGGTCCCTGGAATACGATCCCCTGCCGCGAAGAATCGTTTTTTCATTCAAGTACACATTTTACTGTTGCGTTATACAGAGGCTACAGTTAAGGATTTGCGCCCTGTAAATCCTCCCCGGCCAGGATACGAACCCATGACATAGCGCTCGCGGAACGCCAGGCGAGTGTCTTACCACTACATCACGGAGACTGGTAACTTTCATGATTTATTCAAGACGAGGGTTTGCTAAGACCATCTTCACATTCTTTAAGGACCTTGATAATTACTTCAACAGGTTTTCTCGATTTGCTGGGCTTTAATTTCAATATTTATTTAATAATTTCCTCCTTGGAAGCTTTATGCTAATCAACTTTTCCCTCTTTTGAATCGACAAATATTTGCTTAGCTGCAGGAGAGATATAAAGTTTGTCCGTGTAGTTAATACAAAAGCAAGGCACGTGTTCGAAATACGACACATTTCTTTGTCGTTATCAGTTATCTAACCTGTCATTTTTCAATGGCCCTATTCTTCTCTAATCTTTATTTGATATATTTAAAAGAGCCCTTCTTTGCCTGCCCTGCTATACTCTATAAATTATTTTTAATATTTGTTATTTCTTTTTAACTGTACTTGCTTGTTTGATAAATTGTTGTATTAAACAGATGTTGACCAGACCACACACTAGGAGTTGAAGGGACGACGACGTTTCGGTCCGTCCTGGACCATTCTCAAGTCGATTGTGATGAGGAGGATTGATTGATAAAGATTAAGCCACCCAAGAGGTGGCACGGGCATCAATAGCCCGTAAGTGATGAGGAGGTAGGGTCAGGCAATAAATAGGCAAGAGAGAGCTGAAGAGGAAAGCCAGGTGTAGGGGATAGTAGTAGGTGTGGTCTGGTCAACATACTTCAGCCACGTTATTGTGACTCATCGCCTGCATATTAGACAGATGTTCTCATTCTTTAATTTATTTCTTTAATTATTACAAAAGAAAAAGGATTGCTGATTGAATACTTAAGAACAGCCCCAATGAACAATACAACCTTCTCCAAAAGGCAATCGTGGTACACCAGTTTACACGCCCCAATGAAGCATGTGATCTTCCTTCTACTTATATTAACATGACCACCAAAAAGCTGCCGAGAAGACTGACCTGCCAACTACAAGCTGGCGTCCCTAGAAGCCTTATGCAAAGTGTACGTAGCACAAAACTCACTAGGAACATGCTTGTGGATAATTAAACTATCCTGGGACCAGATTCACGAAAGCACTTACGCAAACACTTACGAACCTATACATCTTTTCTCAATCTTTGGCGGCTTTGTTTCCAATTATTAAACAGTTAATGAGCTCCGAAGCACCAGGTGGCTGTTTATAACAATAACAACAGTTGATTGGCAAGTTTTCATGCTTGTCAACTGTTTAATAAATGTAACCAAAGCCGTCAAAGATGGAGGAAAGATGTACACGTTCGTAAGTGCTTGCGTAAGTGCTTTCGTGAATCTGGTCCCTGGCCTCCACCACTGGCCAGGGAAGACTGCCAGGCCGGGAAGCTATTCTCATATGAGATAAAAAAAGAGACCACACGCTAAATACACAGAGTAACGACTTCGATATCTTGCCTAAGCTCACATCCAGATATCACCAAACAGTATAGGATAACGGCGACATCTCTTCCTAAGTTCTCCCTCACCAACTATCTTACAGAATGTTTGATTAGCATCCATTCCATATCATTTCCCCCTCTTTGTTTATTCCTCTATTCCTTACTCTATGTTTGATTCCCAATTATATTCCTTCTTTCATCTCTTTATCTCACCCCACACAACTTCCCTTCTTTCACGTGTTTATTTAGGTCAAAATTGCACCTTGTGCGTTCATTCCTTACCTGAAGATGTTCCAGAGTGGAACGAAACGCCGTAGAAAATAAACTCTTCAGTAATCACGAGAGTTTCTTTACCATTAATCTCAGTAACTTGACTGCTCTTCTTAATCCCGAGAGTAAGAAAATAGTTAGAAGCAAAGAAAGCTTATAGTATGAGATCAACAACGCCAGCAATGCGGTCATATATAACCGAATATACATGTACACACAGACACACACACACACACACACACACACACACACACACACACACACACACACACACACACACACACACACACACACACACACACACACACACACACACACACACACACATATTAATTAAGAAACAAGATGACTACACGGTTCCTTACAAAGACTAAAAATAAGATGTCACACATGATAAAAATTGTGATTAAAAAGCAAAGAAAAAGCTAAGTAAAAAAGCTGAGAAAAGAAATAAGAGATCAAAGTGAATATAAAGCTTGAGAAACAGGATAATAAAGTCGAAATAAAGGATCTAGGAGTAACAATAAACAAATAAGTAAAATAAATTCCCCCAAAACACCTTGATAATGTCATTGTATCAAAATCCTTTGCAGAGGAAAAAATAATAATAAAATTATTTGTAACATTCATCAAACTAGAGTTAAAATATGCAGCGCTGGCAAGGTGCCACCACCTGAAGATATATAAACTAGCAAGAAAGAGTGCGGAGGCATGCTACAAAACAGGTCCCGGATAAGAGAGACGTGAGGTATACAGAGAGAGAGATAAGATTTACTTGAGCTTACCATAGAAGACAGAAAGAATATAGAGGGGAAACTTTAGTACTAAATCAAATGCATCTGGAAAAAAACACGAAAAGATTGTGAAATGGAAGATTTCTTTACCTCGTCTTCAAGGAGACCCAGAAGAGGCAATCTTAGGCTAGAAAGAAAACAACCTGTGGGGTGGTTACGTAAGATGTCCTGGAAGTGCTGAGGGGACGGGGATGAGGTACACACAAGACACAGACAACTCTAAAAATGAACACAGCCACTGTCTAGGGGCAAGACGGGACATTAGTGAGATGGTGATCTGGCTTATAAGCGACATGTAGGTTATCATTAATAGGTTTGTACTTACACACACACAAACACACAACCCAAACATGCGTACACACTGTGCAAGATATATACACACACACACACTTCAATATTTCCCATAAGTAACCCCCATAC